GCCTGAGCCAACTCCCATAGAACATGACAAGACACACCGATATGAAAAAAGATGCAGAACAATGTGCATAACAGCCTACCATTTGGGCGGAGGACATATGCTATCCTATATAATAAAAGGCTAATATGCAAACTGACCGAACGGCAGAACGACAGGTTGCTATGACACACACTAACCACCAGGGGGGCAGACACTCAATGCAGGAGCTGCCCCCTGCTGGTTGGTGTGCTCCATTGGGGGGGGAGGGAGGGCGGGGGGAGGTGTGCAGGGGCACTGCTCAGCCAGAAGTTGGGCTCTTGGCTGGCAAGTGCATTGGTGGTGGCGGGAGCCTCCTCGGCAGTACTAAGGATGTGCGACTGCTCCCTGACTGTGAGAGGGTGCAGGCCTGGCTGAGGGACCACCCCCCCACCCCTCCCAAGTACATGATTTTCGTGCACCAGGCCTCTAGTGTGTATATAAACATACACAGCTGTACTTATGTAGCTACAGGACATCTGTGGAAAGGTCCCCAAGAACAGCAAACAACTGTTGCCTCCTAGGAGGGGAGAGAAGCCATTTCCCCCATAAAATTTTTTTATGTACTTTTAACAATGTACTGTATGCCTATTTTTTTCAAAACCACCAGAACAGAACCCTGGAGAAGGTGGACAATCTCTCAGAAGGGAGGCACTCCCATGGACACACCTGGCAGAACAGGTTCAATGAGTAAGCAGCCATTTCTCAGCTTAGCCAGTAATAGGCAAGTAGTTGTGACAACCCCGGGATGGTGATCACTATGAGCATAGGGCTCAGCATGGTTGGGAGACTCTGCCAAATCTCTCAAGTAATTAAAGGAAAGTTAGAGGCTTTCCTAGCTAAGTGTTAGATCAGCTACAAAAAAGCAAGGGGAAGTGGGGGGAATCCAATTCACTGATTTTTTCACTCAACAGCTTTTCACTGAAGGCCAGCACTGTGCTAGGTAGGCAATGAGGATACATAAAATGAAGTTTAGCCGACAATCCAGCTCTTCATGGCTTCTGCCTGTTGCCCAGCACCCAGCCCCTCCTGCCTCTGGCCAGGTGGTCTTTACTCAACTAGAATCCTCATGAGAATCTTTCTAAAGCATAAATCTACCCCCATCACTCTACAGCTCCCTGGTGCCCTTCCAAATTCCACTTTGAAAGCTGTGGCATGGCTATGCTGAACTTTTCCTCCCTACTGTTCCCTCTGCCTGGAACACCTTCCCTACCACTTCACCTAACTCCTCATCTTTCAGATGGTCTCTCCTCCAGGAAGTTCTAACATCCAGGCAAGGTCAGGTGCCTCCTCTGGCCCCTCTAACCCTGAGCCCTGACTATTGGAGGCTGTCGCTAACAGGGGACAGGCCTGTCTTAACCACCACAGGGCCCCAGCCCTACCCAGCAATGGGCCAAGCCCAGAGTAGGCACTCAAGTGTGACTAAACTCACAGACCACTTCCCACTGAAATGATCTCTCTTGCCCCTGCCTCCTCCCACACACACCTGGGCCTGAGAACTGGAAGGATACATGGGCCTGGTCAATCATGCACTTGCAAAGGGTGAAGTCAGTGTGGGGCAGGTTGGTAAGGGCCTTTAGCAGGATCTGAGCAGTGACCGTGGTCTGAAAGAAGGCTGGGTTGAACTGGTACCTGAGAAGGGAAACAAAAGACACAGCAACAGGTGACATCTCCAGGTCCCAGAAGCCTCACCAGGTGTGAGGCAGGGTACACACTGCTTTGGCCCAGGGCCTGGGAACTACACATGCCTGGGTTCCAGTCCCAACCACAGATTCTCTGACTATGTGACCTCCCTGACCCTACTTGCCTGCTCTGTCGACAAGGACAGTTAATTTTCACAACCACCCAGTAAGACAGATACTGTTAATTGTTAAGTGATTCATAAATAAATGAGTACATAGAGAAGTTTGAAATAGTGGTTTAGGGCTCTGGAGCCAGAATGCCTGGGTTTAAACTTCCCTGCTGAGTGACCATGGACTTATTTTAAATTTTGTGCATCAGTTTCCTCCCTTGCAAAAGGGGGCAATTACAACCACATCTACCTCACAAGGACAATACAGCATCTAAGTGAGTTAATACATACAAAGCTTATACCACAGCAAACTACTACATGGTGAATACTCCCTAAGTAGTGATTATCACCAATAACAACCTAAACAACCCTGTAAATACATCTATTTTACAGATGTTAAAACTGAAGCTATGGAATCGTAAAAATTACACAGCTGTGTGCCAATAAAGTACTGAGGGGGAGAAACCCAAACGTCTGTTAACAGGAAAACGGATAAAAACTGCAGCCACACAGAAAATGGATGAACCTCATTAATCCAGTGCTCAGTGGAAGCAGTCAGATGCAGAAGATCCACTGAGCCAACTGGCTAGAGCTCCTCTCATACATTTTAAACCATCCCTTGATTACTTACAAAACCTAATACAATTATATACCATGTAAATAGTTGTTATACTGTATTGTTTAGGGAATAACAAGAAAAAAGTTTGTACATGTTTAATACAAATATAACCATTGTAGGTCTAACTACACAACACATCAGCAACATCACATTTTTAGGGGAACGTTTTCAACCTTTCCACTAGATGTGGATCCTGTGGTATGGAGAGCCAACTGTATTTGTTCTATGTACTAGCCTGTATGTGTGTTTTGTAATTAATTCTTAAAAACATCCATCCTCCTGCTCTTCCTTGGATTCATAGTTTTGCACACCAAAGATGCTTCATGCTGTAGGCTACTCCTGTACCACCCAGTGTTGGGAGTGGTACCCTGCTGGCCACTGGCATGGGTTGGGGTTGGAGGCAGACACTCACAGCTTCAGGACAGCCAGGTTGGCTTCCAGATCATAGGCATTCTCCTTGGCCTGTGTCTCCACATAGCGCTCCAGGGTGGCCAGATTCTCAGGATTGTATCTAGAGAAGAAGCAAGATGGATGAGCAGAGAGGAGACAGGAGCTGAGGCCAGTTACTTTTTTTGAGGATGGGGGGTGGGCACAGTAACCTGCTCCTCCTTCCTCCTTTTCTTCTCTTATCTTACCCATATCTCAGACCTGAGCCTAAGCTAAATCCCATCGGAGCCAGGGGTCTAATGCCTGGGATGCTTCCCCAACCTCTCAGTCAGTCATTGCAACCTGTATACCTGGGCTCCCGGACATCTTTGACACACACACCCCTTCCTTAATCCAGCCCCGTCCTCTCGGCTCAAGCTTCTCCCATTGCAGTTCTGACCAATCTGCTTGTGCTTCCCCCATCGCAGCTCTGACTGCTCTCAGCTATCACTATCTATTGACGGTTTTGTCACGACTCTGAACTGGGAACTCCATGAAAGCATGGCCAGCGGCTGTCTTGGTCACTTCTGGTCCCCAACGTTGCCCGGCGCTGACAGGGAGCATGTGTTGAATGAATGATATGGGAAAAGAAGGTAGAGATGAAGAGGCACTGTCACAGTGAGAGGAAGACTGAGGGGCTGAGAGAGAGGCCTTAAGACAATTAAGGAGGGGAGACAAGGCGAGGCAATCTCCCGCCTCGGGGCGCTTGCAACGCTGTTCCCTTAAACAGCTCCTCCAGAAGCTGGAAACCACCCCGCGCAAGCCCGGGACCCTGGCCAGCCCTCGCGGTCTGCGGAAAGGCTCTCCTCCACCCGCTCGACCAGAAGCTCTCCCTCCGACCAGGCTCAGACCTGTCGATGCCCTTGAGCAACTTGCCCACGTTCGCTCTCATCTGTTCAAACATGGCCATGCCTGCGGTCGCTTCCCTCTCGGGGGATGGAGCCGCAGTACCGGCCGTGCGGCGTCCTAGAGGACCGGAAGAGGAAGAGATGGCGGAAACGGAAACTACGTCGCTGTTTTCGCTCCAGCCCTGAGGCGCTGAAGGGGGAAGGTTCTCGCGGTGGCTGCCGCGCTTTCCGGCTGCCACGTGACTTCTTCCCAGCGGGCGCCGTCAGCGCGTGCGCACCTTCTCCACCCGAACTGGACCGTCAGCGAGACTAAAAGCTTAGCGTAGCCAACGCGCTGGCGCCGTCTCGGGGCGAGGGGCGGGGCTAAGCTGTTCGTGGGCGTCGCGCTTTAGTCCTCAGGCCGTGCGCGCGAGCTCGCTAGGAAGGAGGCGGACCCCGACGGGGTGAGCGCAGGTCGCGTTGCTCGCCGTATTGAACTTACAAAACTGTTGGAATGCACGTAGTAGCCTTCCATTTGAGACGTGATCCTAGCTCCGACGGCCTCTTTCCCCCAGGCCTTGGGCCCCCAGCCGGATCCTGAGCTCCATAGTTTCAAAAGCCTGAAACTGGTCCCCATGCTCCACCCTAATTCTAGGGGGAGGGGCCCGCAAAGCTGTTGGGATGGTCTGCCCAGGAGGGACAGGGGTGAGGAACCCCTGAATCCCGCAGATTGGCACCCAGTTCACAGACTACAGTATGTTGGGTGAAAGCGAGCTCTCCATGTGTGTCATCATAGGTTGTGTGGATACAGATTCTAAACACTGCCGGCATGAATGTACAGGCATGTGTTATATATGTGGAGGTATGTGCTCTGGGCTCTAGGTACACCACATGTGTGCACATGCGTATCCAGGCATGTGCACGTTGGGTTGGTCTGCACACCACACAGGGGGTCCACGACTAAGTGCATGTCTGTGCCCAAGGTGAGCAGTAATGTACACTGAATGATCAGGCCCAGCTCCGGCTCCCTGTGCAGACCTGCCATCTCGGGGCTGTGGCCAAACCCTCAAGCACTCAGCAGAGGTTCAACTGTGGCTTTTAGCCACCACCCAGAATGGGGGAAGGGGTGCCGAGGTACCCATCAGGACACACTTAAGATAGTTTGCATCTGATTTACATTCTGTCCAGGGCCCTGAAGGTGGAGAGGGGTCCCGTGGGTCCCAAGGCAAGCTGTCCCAACAGGCTCTCAGGGCCCAGGGGACTGGGGGTGGAGCTGGCTGCACAGCCCTGCGCTGGGGCAGGAAACGAGAGCGGGGAAGGGGGAGGCCACAGCCGGTGGAGGCAAGGCGGGTGCAGGGTGTGTGGGGAGGGAGGGAGGTGCCAGCACTCCAGCCCTGAGGCCCTGCTGGCCCCTGGGCGGAGGCCCAGCTCCGGCTCCCAGGAATGGACCTCGTGGACCCCGACATATTTAATAGGGACCCTCGGGACCACTACGACCTGCTGCAGCGGCTGGGTGGTGGCACCTATGGAGAAGTCTTCAAGGTGAGGACCCCCTTCCTTCTCCATCACCCTCCAACCAGTGGCCTTTGTGGTGAAGCCCAAGAAGGGGAGGGGATGAGAGAGGGTCCCAGTCTTTGATGCTGGCTCAGGCATGCTGAAGAGGAATTCGGGGGAATGGAGACGGCCTGACTGTCAACTTCCCTTTTACAAGGCTCGAGACAAGGTGACGGGGGACCTGGTGGCATTGAAGATGGTGAAGATGGAGCCTGGTGAGGAGAGGTCCCAGGAGATCCTTCCCCACACCCCACCCCAACTTCCTAGGACACTGGGCTCGCCCGCATACTCCTTCCCTGCAGTGAAATTTTCTCTCCTGGCCCTCTTTGCAGATGATGATGTTTCCACACTTCAGAAGGAAATCCTCATCTTGAAAACTTGCCGGCACGCCAACATTGTGGCCTACCACGGGAGTTATCTCTGGTGATGAACCTAAGACCTTCCCCCTATCCCAGGACCCCCATTCCTGACCAGGGTACCCCCTAACCTCTTATCCTGGACGCTCATTTTAACTGAGTTACCCCTAACTTAATCCCCAGCCCAAAGTTCTACATTTCTCACCGGAACACCCCCTAATCTAATCTTCATTTAGAACTCCCATTTCTGACCAGGGGTCCCCAAATCGACCTCTTCATAGTAACCAAATCTGAAACTAACTTCCCTAACCTTTCATCCTGTGCTTTGGTTCCCCCAGTTTCACTCTCTGCTCTTTTAATATGAACCCCTGAATTACCTGTCCCCCACATTTATACCCCAGATGCCCCAATAATGACTCTGTCCCTCAGACCTGGCACCCTGGGCCTTTGTGTCCCCTCTAACTTCCTCAACCTCTGAGATCTCTACCCTGTCTCCTACGTTAGCATGGGACAGCAGAGGGTGCCCTAGGTCAGGAGCCAAAGACGTGGGTTTGATTCCAGTTGATCTGAACATACATTTCCTCTTTGAGCCTCAACTTCCCCATCTATAAAATGGAAGTGGGATCATTTCACGCTGTGGGCAAGGAAAGTTAGAGATGACTGCTGTTACATTCAAAGATCAGAGCCCTGGCTGGTTTGGCTCAATTGGTTCGAGCATCCTCCCGTGCACCGGTCATGGGTGCGATTCCTGGTCAGGACACATGCCTGGGTTGCGATTTAGTCCCTGGCCAGGGGTCAGGGCACATGTGGGGGGTGGGCAACTGATCAATGTTTCTCTCTCTCTCTCTCTCTCTCTCTATATATATATATATATATATATCCTTTTTCCCCTCTGTAAAAGTCAGTGAATATACCCTCTGGTGAGGATTAAAAAACCCAAAAATGTCAGAACAAGACAATGAGCCAGGGGCTGTCCAATAAATAATAATTTATCACTGCTATTATTATTATTACTGCTGTTGAACTGTTGTAGGCTGCAAAAGCTCTGGATCTGCATGGAATTCTGTGGGGCTGGTTCTCTTCAGGACATCTACCAAGGTGAGAGCAGGGCAAGGGACCCAGGCAGCCCCTGTCCCTCCAATCCACCTCTCCTGTCTGTCTGTGTTTGTGGGTCCTGTAACTGTTTATTCTGGTCTATATTTTACATAGTGAGCCCCCCCCACCCCTCTGGGCCCTGGGCCCTCCCCACCAGGACCTGCCAGCCCCAATCTGTCTGCATGCAATGATCTCCTCTACTTCCCTCTCCCAGCTTCCTCTGTGCCTGCATTTTCTCACCAAGGTCTATTCGTGTTTGAGTATTTCTGCATTTCTGGCTCATAGGAGGTGCCCACATTTTCATTGAATGAGTGATTCTCTCATCCTGCTTTCACTCTCTTGGAGAATTTTTTTATTTTATTTTTATCTATTTGTCTATTTTTCTCTTAGAGAATTTGAGGGTAGGGTGGAGTAGCCTGTGATCACCTCTCGACTTCTGATGCCCACTTCTCTCTTTCACCATCTCCCTGTCTCCCTCCATCCCAACACCTCAAGTGTTAGAAAAGGAAGGACTCCATTAAGAAGTCCTCAGGGGGGGAAACTGAGGCCCACAGAGAAAATGACTCAGACAGCAAGACTGTCAGACCTGTTCTCTGTCTGCCTTTCTCTGTTGTTCCCTCTCCACCCTGTGTCTCTCTTTCTCAATATGTCTGTCTTCCCACTTTTTGGTCTCTGACCATCTTTCTTTCTCTGTCTCACTTTGGATCTATTCCTGCCTCTCTGTCTGTCTGTCTGTCTCTGTCTCTCTGCCTTTCCTCATTTTGCAAAGTTCCATCACCCCCTGCTCAGAGCCCTCCCAGAGCCTCCATTTCCCTCTGAAAATCCCAAGTTCCTCATCGTGGCCCATCAGTCTGACACCGCTGCACCCCATGCTGAACGGCCTCATCTCGTCTCCCTGAGGCTCCACTCACTTTGCTGCTTTCTAGACCTACCAGGCACCTCCCGCCTCCCAGCTCTACACTGGCTTTTGTCCCCACTCCAAGCAGGACTGCTCACATCTTCATCCTGTCACCTTCACAGAGTGGCCTTTGTTGACCAGCCTGAGTAAAATGTCGTAGCCTTCCCACACGTTTCCTGTTCATTCTTTCTTGCTTTTTCTTATTATTTATTAGCATCTTGCGTACTGTATATTTTACCTCCTTATCTGGTTTACTGTTGGTCTTCCCCGCTGGAATGTTCTCTCTGTGAGGGTAGGGATCTGTCTTTTTCGTCCACAGCTGTGTCCCCAGCGCCTACCACACAGTAAACACACAATAAATGTCTGTTGAATGAATCTCTGTCTCCATCTGGCTTCTGGTTCCCTGCTGCCTCTCTCTGTTGCTGACCACCCATTGGTCTCCCCTCCCACTTGCCTCATCCTGTGCCTGTATCCCACTCCTCACATGGTACCCTCTCAGCCAGTTTGGGCGGGGACCAGGAGCTCTTGGGCCAGGTTTCCTAATTCCCAGACAACATTGTGCTGGGGTGACCTTTGCAGTGACAGGCTCCCTGTCAGAGCTCCAGATCAGCTACGTCTGCCGAGAAGTTCTCCAGGTGAGGAGAGGCCTGGGTGGGGGCAGGTCCCTGCTCCAGCCCCCAGGCTCTCACAGCCTCCTTGTTTACCTCCCTCCCCAGGGACTGGCCTATCTGCACTCACAGAAGAAGATACACCGGGACATTAAGGTGGTCTAGGGGCAGAAAGGTGGCCTTGGGAGGGGCAGGAGATGGGAGTGGTATTTGGAGGGCTTAGGGTGATATTGAGCTGTGGGGCCAAGGGGTAGAGGCTAGGGGTGGTGGTCTCTGACAGCCTCTAATTTCTCCTCTGTCCCCAGGGAGCCAACATCCTCATCAATGACTCTGGGGAGGTCAGACTGGGTAAGTGTGGCTGGAGGTTGAGGAGGTGGACTGGCTAGGGGCCCGAGAGGACCCTAGGTCACTGTCTCTCCCTCTGCCTCCAGCTGACTTTGGTATCTCAGCTCAGATCGGGGCAACGCTGGCTCGACGCCTCTCTTTCATTGGGACACCTTACTGGTGAGGGGTGCCTGGCAGGCAGCTAGGGGTAGAGTGAGGGGCAGCAGTCCCCCCCACCCCCCCATCCCCATCTCTGAGACTCTTCTGGCTCCTTCTCCCAACCTCTGCCTTGCTCTGTTGAATATTCTATCTTCCCTTCAGCTCTCTATCTTGAGTTTTCCCTTTAGTTAGTGTTTGTGTTGATTTTTTATCCTGATCTCTCCCTATCTGTCTTTTTTCTGTCTTAGTGTGGCCCTGTCTCTGTTCCTATCTCTCTCACTCTGTCTCTCTCAGTCTGTTTTCCCATCTGTCTCTTTCTCTCCATCTTTGATTCTCTCTGCACCTGGTTCTTTCTATTTTCCATTTTCCTCTCTCTTTTTGTATCTCTTCTCGCCCCACTCCCCACTCCCCACACCACTCCTCCCACTCCCCTCCCCCTCCTTTATGTCACCCCTGGCTCTTGAGGGTCTCTGCCCCCAGGATGGCTCCAGAAGTGGCTGCCGTTGCCCTGAAGGGAGGATACAATGAGCTGTGTGACATCTGGTCTCTGGGCATCACAGCCATAGAACTAGCAGAGCTACAGCCACCGCTCTTTGATGTGCACCCTCTCAGGTAAGCAGGTGTCACTGCCCCCCCGCCCCCCAGGGCCCAGCCCTGACTCTAAGCACCCCCACCAGCCTATTTCCCCACATCAAGATTCCCCTATAGGAGAGCCCCCATTTCCTGCAAACCCAGTCTGAGACCCCCAAGGATCCCCTCAACTCAGAAAGCCTTTTCTTCAGTCCTCCACACCAGGAACCCCCAACTCAGGGATCCCCATCTTGAGCCTCCCTCTGTGACTCACATAGCTCTATAATGTGAAATGTGGTGTCCCCTGGAAGTGGCAACCCAGTGCATAGTAAAACCTAAGCCTCATTCTCATTCTGCCCCTCACTTGCTCTCTGCTGACTTCAGTGCTATCGAGGGTCCCTCTGGCCCCCACTGGGAGTCTGAACTCCACGTACTCTCCTTATTCTTGTAGAGTTCTCTTCCTCATGACCAAGAGTGGCTATCAGCCTCCCCGGCTAAAGGAAAAAGGCAAATGGTAGGAGGAGGTGATGAGAGGGAGGGCAGAGCCGGGGTTGATGGTCTGATGGGTCTCTGGTCCCCTCACCCCAGAACTTGGCTTCTTTCTTCCAAGGTCTGCTGCCTTCCACAACTTTGTTAAAGTCTCCCTCACCAAAAACGCCAGGAAACGACCCAGCGCCACCAAGATGCTCAGTGTAAACCGCCCCTCCCCCAATCCCTCCCCAGACTCTCACCCCAGAATTCCCCAGGGCCACGTGGCTCTCTAGAACATTGATGGTTTAGTTCCACAGAACCCCATGGCCCTCTCAGAGTCCCTAGTCCTTCAGAATTCCCCACAATGCCCCCTAAGGCCCTCCAACTTGTAACCAAACCCTTTTCCAAGATACCTTGAGTTGTTAAAACTCACAAATTCCCAAGAGCCTCAAGACCCATTCCTGGGTGTACACTGGAATGGAATTCTCCGAGCCCCACACCAGGATCCTTGAATTATTTTAGTATCTTCAGACACCTCAGCATTCTCTGGTCTTCTGCCAGTTCCCCAGAGTTTCCTGCTTTCTCCCTCTGTTCCCCTAGGCAGGCTCTCCAGCCCCTGTTCCAACCTCTCCCTTCACACCAGCTGTCTGCCTGCTGACACCCTCCTCCCCTCCCCCAGCATCAGCTGGTATCCCAGCCAGGGCTAAATAGAGGCCTGATCCTGGATCTTCTTGACAAACTGAGGAACCCAGGGAAGGGGACTCCTGTTGGTGAGACTGAAGATGAGGAGCCTGAGGTGAGGGGTCCTGGCAGACAGAAGCCCTGGAACCTCCCAGCCTTTGCTCAGGCCAGGCCGCCTGCCTGGAGTGACTTCCTGCTGCTGCTCTTGCAAGGATAAACGGGAGGGAGGATGGTGGGCTTGGCACAGGGCTGGGGGCACAGAGGTTATGGGAGGGTCAAGGGCTCCAGGCTGGGCCCACAGGGTGGTGGGGCTGCTGGAAGGGAGTGGCCTGACACAGCTGCCACTCTGCCCAGCCACCCCCTGCCATCCCTCGGCGGATCAAATCCACCCACCGATCCAGCTCGCTGGGGATTCCAGATGCAGATTGTTGTCGTGAGTAGAGAAGCCTCAAACTTGGGAACACTTGACCCTATAATAGATCCAAGAGTCCCCCTTCACTCCTACATCACTCATCACTTCCAAACAGACCCTCAGAGACCCCATCACCCTCTCACTCACAAGAGACCCCAGAGAACCTCATTACTACCTGACCTACAAGGTGACTCTAGAGGCCCCACTGCTCTGACCTGCAAACAGACCCCTTCAGACTTCCCATTACCACCCTGACTCCCAAAGAGACCTCAGAAATATGGCAGACCCCTGATACCCAGTGGAACCTGAAACTGAACACTCTATCACTACTTTAGCCCCTACCTCCCTAATCCCAAACCTTGATACCCAAGTGAGACCCCTGTAAACCAAGATACTTTCCTTTAAGTAACAGCTCCAATCCTAAGGTGCCGACCCAAACTCCACAATTTTAGTCTATTTCTGAATCCATCTCCCCAGCTCACTGTGTGTTACCTCCCCTTCCCACCCCCAACTTCCAGGACGGCACATGGAATTCAGGAAGCTCAGAGCAATGGAGTCCAGACCTGCAGCTGACACTGTGAGATGCCCCTTCCCCCACCTGTCTGGCCCCAAACACCCTCCCCTTCACCTAGGCCAGTGGTCGGCAAACTGCGGGCGTGCATGTACAGTGCGATTGAAACTTCGTGGCCCATGCACAGAAGTCGGTATTTTGTGGAAGAGCCACACTCAAGGGGCCGAAGAGCCGCATATGGCTCGCGAGCGGCAGTTTGCCGACCACTGACCTAGGCTACTGCTGACCCTTTACTATTCCACAGGCTCTCTTACAGCCCCCTGAAGACTTCAGGAGCAGCAGTCCTAGGTCAGGGACCCTAAGGCTGGGAGGGGAGGGGGTTAGGATATATGTGGGGACTACCTGAGGCTTATGCCTGTCACTCCTCAGGAGGCACCTGTCGGAGTCTGATGATGACTACGATGACGTGGACATGTAAGAGAGGCTGGGCCCTCAGCTCCTCAGGCCCTCACCCAGCCCCTGCCTTCCTGCAGCCCCTGCCTTGTTTCTACTTTGACCCCTACCTCAGCCCCTACTTTCTTTCCACCACTCATCCCTGACCCCTGACTGGACCCTCAGTGGAGCCTCTACCTTCCTTCACTCCCAACCTATGACCCCAACCTGACTCCCAGCCCGGCCCCCACTCTCCTTCATTGATGTTTCTATCTCTCCCTAGCCCCACCCAAACTCAGCCCTTCAACTTCCTTCACCTCAGACCCTTGACTCCCAAGCCCACCTTCCTTCCAACTTTTTATAGGACTTTTGATCTGACTCCCAACTTCAGCCCCCACCTGCCCTCAACCCCAGTTCCTTCCAGAATGTCCTGCTCCAGCCTGGGCTCTTTCCCCATCTATCCGGCTCAACCCTGGACCCTCTGCCACCTCCCAGCCCCCAGCTCCTCCCAGACGTTGCTCCAACCTCCAGATTTCAACTGCAGCCCCAACCCTCAACCACAGGCCTTCATCTTTCCTCATCTCACAAAACCTGACTGGACCTTGGCCCCTGGGAATTTTCCCCATGTTAGACTAGACCCTGGGCCCCAGATCCCAACCTCAACCCCAGCCATCAGCCCCCAGCCCACAGGCCCAGTGTCAGCCTCAGGGCTCCCATCATGTCTGTAATGGGCTCACATGTGGCACTAGGAACCATGTGGGAACCTAACCCCCAGGAGCTCAGATGATCTGTGTCGTAGGTGGCTATGAAGATTTAGACTTGACGCCTTGTCAGCACTTGATCTCCAAAGTTGCTGTTGTTATTGTCATCATGATTATTATTTAAAATATATATATATATATATAGATAGATAGATAGATAGATTTCAGAGAGGAAGGGAGAGGAGACAGAGATATAGAAACATCAATGATGAGAGAGAATCATTGATTGGCTGTCTCCTGCCCATCCCCTACTGTGGATTGAACTCACAACCCGGGCATGTGCCCTGATTGGAATCAAACCATGACCTCCTGGTTCATAGGTCAATGCTAAATCACTGAGCCACACAGGCTGGGCTGTCATGATTATTAATTAGTCCTTTAGTCCTCAGCTCCATCACAGACCGAGTCACCCCTGACCCTTCTGATCTCAGACATGCAGCCCCAAACCACTCCATCCTTGTTTCCCACACCCCCACCTGCTTACCCTGTCTTTGTGTTTCAGCCCTACCCCTTCAGAGGACACACCTCCTCCACTGCCCCCCAAGGTGAGGTCTTAGTCAAGAGCTGGGGGGCTGGGGGCCAGGAGGTTAGAGTCCTTAAATGCTGGGATACCGGGCATTCTAGGGCTGTAGTCTGGGACACCAGGTCCTTTGAAATCTGGGAGATGGGACAATGAGCATATTGGGGTATGGGAGTGGCATTCGTGAATCCACAGGTGTGACTCAAAATATTTAGCCTGATGGACACTGGTCAGTAGCCGGTTACCCAGCATTAATCCTTTAGTTGCTGGAGTGTATTGATGGGGTGGGGATGGAGGGGAAAGTTGGAGTGGTGGTAGGACATTGTGGGAAGGGTCAGAGCTATGACCACATTTCCGTTGTAGCCTAGGCAGGGTTGGGATGGCAGGGTGCCCTCTCTCTTTGAGATCATCTAATGTACTACCTGCCCCACTTCTCTGTCTCCAAAGCCCAAGTTCCGTTCTCCATCGGATGAGGGTTCCGGGGGGCCTGGGGAGGAGGGGCAGCTGAGCCCGGGGGTGCTGGTCCGGTGTGCCAGTGGGCCTCCCCCACGCACCCCCCATGTTGGACCTCCCCCAGCCACCAGGAGTCCCCATCTAACTGCCCATTCAGGTAACAGGGCAGGATAGGGTGGGAGGTGGGTAGGGGTGGGGGAGCTTTGGGGACTGATTATTCCCCATCCTGTCTCAGAGCCCTCACTCTGGAACCCAACCCCTCAGCAGTCTGACCAGCCCCCACTGTTGCCCCCCAAGAAGGAAAAGATGAAGAGAAAGGTGAGGACAGCTATGCTGAGGACTCACACCTCTAGATGGGACTGGGGATGCTGGGTGGGGTGGGGGTGGGAAGACTAATAATGATATGTGACATTTGTGGAGCAGTTCCTCTGTGCCAGATACTGATCTCATGTCTTCACATGGTGTAAACCTTTACAGATAGAGGTAGATATTGTCTCCCATTTCACAGAGGGGAAACTGAGGTAGAGAGGTCATGCCAAGGTCATAAACCTTTGAGGAGGCAGAGAGGCAGAATCTGAACCCTGGCACTCTTGCTCCAGAGCTTTAACCATTGCACTTTCTGTCCACTCCTTCTTTTTGCTGGATCTCCTGCTCTGCTCCCCATGACCTGCCCAGGGATGTGCCCTCCTTGTAAAGTTGTTCAATGGCTGCCCCCTCCGGATCCACAGCACAGCCGCCTGGACACACCCCTCCACCAAGGGTGGGCATTCAGGAGGGTAACAGGGAACATGGCGGGATTCGGGATGGGGAGGGACCGTAATGGAAGCCAGGAAGTCAGGGACCAGGGAGGGTCTTAATAGGGTGCGGAGTGGCCAAGCTGAGGCAGGGACAGAGCCTGGGGCTACAGTGGGATTTGGGGATCAAAGATGGTTGGCGTGAAGATGAGTTTGAGAGCGAAAACTAGCAATATTAGGGATTGGGGGCCATGAGTATTAGATACAGCAGAAAGGTCAAAGTTTGGGATACAAGATGGGGGACAGTTGGACCCCATTAACTCCATTAACCTCAGTTGGAGACTAATGGTAAAGAGACTAAGATCAGCATTTTGGGATTAGGAGTTTTGGGATTAGATTATAGCAGAAAGGGATAGAGTTTGGGGATCAAAGATGTAGAGACAAGGTCAATGAGAGGTTAAAGAAAAAGCATTGCGTTTGGGGAGTGTCACACTGAACAGAAAAAGCCATGTTATATTTAAGAGGGCCTGAGTCTGAGGATCAAAGCTGAGACAGGATTAGCCTTCAGGGACCAGAACCAGGGAGGGGAAAAAGAGGAACAGAATTTAGAAGGCTATTTGGAGAGGCATGTCTAATGTTTGGTCAGCACCGAGGGGACAGAGGGTCAGGATTTGTGGGTCAGCAATGGAAGAACCACCAGATGTGGGAAGTCAGAGGAAGGTGTGAATGAGACCAGTTAGAGGGATTGGATCAGGGTTTCAGTTCAGATTTGGGGACAGGCTGGGAGTATTGATGTGGGGGTGAGAATTAGAGAGCTGGGGGTCAGGGCTGGGAGACAGAGTGCCAGTGTTTGGGATCAGACAGGTGGGGGTTTGGGAGGTCCCCCAGGATAAGGCAGGTCCCAGTGTCCTTGTGTCTTTCTCCCAAGATCAGCACCTGATCCTAGGGGCAGAGGAAGGCATTTTCATCTTGAACCGGAATGATCAGGAGGCCACGCTGGAGATGGTGAAGGACAGCTCCCAGGGTGGGCTGAGGGCGGGGGCTGGAGCTGGGGATGGCTGAGGTCAACAGGAGCCGTCTCCCCCATTCTCTGCAGCTCTTTCCCAGCCGGACGACCTGGGTGTACTCCATCAACAATGTCCTCATGTCTCTCTCAGGTCTGGCCATCAGGGATGGGGGGTGATGGGAAGGGTGGGATCAGAAGCTAAGGGGTTGAGGGGCAGTGGGTTGGGAGGTAGATGGGCACAGCTGATAAAAGCCTAGACTCCCCTTCACAGAGCCTGAGGTTCAATCCCAGTCACTCTCACTTGGGGCAGGAGACGTCTGCTCCCTGAGTCTGTTTCCCCATCTCCCAGTCCCCACCTCTCAAGTCAGTTTTGAGGGAATTTCTACAATAAGTCAGTCTTTACCTTTCTTTGATGTTCAGAGGACAATTAGAACTTAGCCCACACTACTAAAATAGAGTGAGCAAATTATAGATTAAAATTTGTTTTAATTTTATAAACACTTTGTGTAAAGAATTTCTAATTTGTGGGGTGTCATTGTTTTATAAACACTTTGTGTAATATAATTTCTAATTTGTGGGGAATCTCCAAACCAAATAGGATTCATGAGCTAATTAATATCTGTGATGATAAACTTAAAAGTTTCTAGATAGGTTTCTTCTTAAACTTTGCAATGTGTATAACTTCATCTGGCTAGTTAAGTGTCCATAGTTCTTATGTAACTACAAGCACCAAAGGGCACGGAACGTATTTCTTTTACTTGTCACTGTTACCATTGCCAAGCACAGTGCCTGACTTATAGTGGGTGTTTAAAACATGCTAGGTGAGCCCTGCTGGCATAGCTCAGTGGTTGAGCATCAACCTATGAACCAGGAGGTCGTGGTTCAATTCTCGGTCAGGGTACATACTCTGGTTGCTGGCTCAATCCCCTGTGTGGGGTGTGCAGGAGGCAGCCAATCAATGATTCTCTCTCATCATTGATGTGTGTCTCTCTCTTCTCCCTTAATCTCTGAAATCAATAAAAAATATTTTTTTAAAAAAAACATGTTAGGTGAAAAGTGCTTAAGGCTTCAAGGTTTGTGAATTTCAGAGAACGGTGATGGGGCGAGTGAAGCTACCCCGAAAGGTGGGAGTGTCCAGTGTCCTATAACTGCCTGCTTCCTGTGTATACACCCACTGCAGGAAAGACCCCCCACCTGTATTCTCATAGCATCCTGGGCCTGCTGGAAAGGAAAGAGACCAGAGCAGGAAGCCCCATCTCTCACATTAGTCCTCACCGGCTACTCGCAAGGTACGAGCCCCCAGTGGCACCTCAGACCCCCATAACCCCCCTCCCTGCCTACCTTCCATTCCCACATACCTTCTTCTGCAGGAAGAACATGGTCTCCACCAAGATCCAGGACACCAAAGGCTGCCAAGCGTGCTGTGTGGGTGAGAGAAAACCCCCTGAGGGGCAGGGAGGGGGCTGGACTGGGCCAGGGGTGGGGTTTGGGCCGCACACACCCTAGGGGTTTGCAGAGTTAAGGCAGGGTGTCCAGAGCCTGGGAAAAAATGTGTGGCCTTTCGGGGAGCGGAAAAGCGGGGAGAAGATGGACTCTATCATGTCCTTACCCTCCCCCACAGCGGAGGGCTCCAGCTCCGGGGGCCCCTTCCTGTGCGGGGCATTGGAGACCTCTGTGGTCCTGCTTCAGTGGTACCAGCCCATGAACAAGTTCCTGCTGATCCGGGTAGGGAGCCGTAGAGGCTGGCTTCTGCGGAGACTTCCAAGAAACCCCACTTCCACTCGAGGCCTCGTCCCAGTCTCCCCCAAGGTTCTGCCCATCGGCCTGCCTGCCGTGGGTCAGGGTGCGAGTGTCTCCTTCTGAGGGCTTCCTATCCTTACATTCCGCCCCTCACCCCTGGCCTCATTATACTTCAGACCCAATGCCCTTCCCCACCTCTGCCCTCTCAGGGGACCCCGTGCAGGTCCTTGGAACCTCTGAGACTTCGCTGCCTTTGAGGCCACGCTCCTGGGGGTGGGGTGGGGGACCCCGTCTTTCTGTCACCAGAGCACCACGCCCCCAAGCGGAAGCCACGACGACCTGAGAGTACATCCGTCCATTTCTAAGGAGGCACCACCGAACCCCCTGAGACTTCGCCCCTGACATTTCTAGATTTGGCACCTCCCAAGACAGCCCATGTCCTTCAACGCCCCACCCTCTCCCCCGCCACAAGCCTCCTCTG